AAAAAGAAAATTATTTGATTGATTTAATTCGATTTACTGGGATCATTTATAATGTCCATTTTGCTTGCATACAAAAGGAATTGTTATTTAATTCTACATATTTTCACACACACACACATATATATATATATATATATATATATATTACATCAGCTACAATGAATAACGAAGTATCCTAACAAATATTGTTTTTCTCACATTACTCTATTGTGGGGCTTCAGTAGACTTGGAATATAGTGCATAAGTGTTATGGATTACTGTAGTGGTGCATTTAGTCATTTTTTAGCTCAACTGCCCCAGTTCCCAATCTAAAAAAGAAGCGCCAACATTCTCCAATTTATCTTCTTTTTTTCACAGTAGAAGTAAGGTTTGCAATGCAATGAACGCGAGTAAATAATGACAGAATTTTGGCTAAACTAACCCTTAAATGTTGTAATAAGGGTTTGGACCACTCAAGTAACTCTCCACGAGCCTCCCACACACAGCACAGTCCTTCAGAGGAGAGCTGGGAATCTTTCCCACGCCATCTACACATTAATTAGTCCTTCGACTCGCCCTGGAGGATCAATGTCAAAAGCTGAGCAGCCAGATCAATGCCGCATCCCATCCAAACCGGTGGCTTTGTGATAGGAACACGGCTTAATGTCATTAAAGCCATTAGCATCCCTGTGAAACCTCCTTCAGAGCCGCTGGGATAATGAGACGGGACGGTCGTATTGCTCTGGTTTGAGGAAGGCTGTGGTATTTTGGCCTGTCATTAGATCCGGTGCAGTGAAAAGCGCACAGGTCGGCGCGGGCGCTTGACGATGGACATACCCTTTGAAGTGCTAATGTGGGCCACCTTTCCTCATTACTCTCTCCGTTCTTCTGATTTCTTGTGTATAAATGTCTTTCTGTAAGCCGGCACAATGAATCAGCGCTGCCTCCACCACTCATTCATTATATATGGCTGCTGTAGCTGTGCGTACATGGAAGTGCTTTGGCTCTCCAGGCAATCTGAGCATGACAGCGGCTGCACTGGACTTTCTTTTTAACATGACTTTGAGATTTGATTCTGAATTCTGCCACTGTTAAATCAGTTTATATAATATAATAATATACTATATTATTTATTTAATATTTAAAAAAATATTTATATGATATAAAATTATGTATAAATTAAGTATAAAATGTAAATAAATAAATAACTGTGAGTGTGTGTGTGTG